GTTTTGCCCCCCCCCCCCCCCCCTCAAAAAATTTTTTTGCCCTACTTATTTCAATACTAAGCATCTTTGCACATCCCCCACAAAAAAAAAAAAAAAATTATTCCCTAAAAAAAGAAGCTGAATCCGCCCGTGCTCTCTAAACTATAATAACATTTACTTTTTTCATACATATCTTTCGAGGAGCATGTAAATACCTCCAATTTATGTACAAAAAGAGAGCAAGAAAATTTAGAATAATTTTTCATATTTTTATTTTTCTACACAATCTATTATATTAATAAATCCTGCATAGTGAAATGTATTCAGCAAACTTCAGAAGGATCTGGCCCTTTTTTATTCTTTGCTATTTAGTCTGAGATTTTTAATCATACACAATAATTCCAAGCTTAAAGTATTTACTCATTTGCAACTTCAAGGTTGAACTGCCGGCGTTTACTTAAACTTACACTACGTTTGTATGCTGGAAATTTGACTGAAAGGAAACGAAAGAAGGGTTGAAAGAGCTCAAACCAAATACATCGAGTTATAAAAAAACAAAAGATATTAAATCAAAGAAACAATCCTAGGATAAACGAAATAAAAATGCCAAGTAAAAATAGAATTTTTATCCTTATAGCTGCTTTTACCAGCTCCTTGAGGAATCCGCATGTCTAAGATATAAAGAACAACACCAAGCTACCAAAATCACACCTCTTTCAAATCTCTAATCCCGCATCTCAATCACAAATCTAATTCCAAGAAGAACAAGAAGAAGAAGAAAAATCCCATTTTTAACGTTTCTTTGATTCCAAGGTGAAGACTTCCATTAAAAAATTCCACCAATAAGATTTAATCAGACAAGAAACCCTCTTTCATGAACTCAACTGAACGAAATGAATACATCGAACTTTTCGCCAATCCAATTCCGGAAAGAAACAAAATCGCAAAATATAAATAGAAAGTGATATTAAATAAGATAAAAAGATAATAGAATTGGAACCCAAACCTGGATTTAAACGAGAAGAGATCTCTCGAGAGATCCTTCCCGCGGCGATCGCTGATCCTTCGTTGGATTGGTAACAGTTGGATCGCATTCTTTGCTCTCTCACGAAGAACATTTCCTCAAGCGTGAATTTGGGTCTGAGTAATGATATAATGCGCTGCCAGAGCAACGAATCCAACTCAGCAGATGCGGCTAGTGGTGTGAAATGGACGGTCAATGATGATTAAATTGGTGTTGGAGCATTTTAAGATGAATTAGTCGAGGGAAATCACACCAGTGAGAGCATCATAAAATTTTTTTGCATTTTTTTAAGGAGCATGTACAATATGTATTTTTAAGAGTAGGGTAGGAGTGTCAATGCAAGATGATGAAAGCGGTCGATTCGGATTAGTTTCAAGTTTTCAGGTCAATTTGAATCCGATCCGATTTTATAAAGCTGTTGAAATTATAAATCTGAACCCTAACTTGTATGACAAATAGGTTGACCCAAACCTGGAATTTTTCGGGTTGATTTTCGGATTGTGTCAGATTTGGACACCCCTACAGTAGGATTGCATAAGTTCTAAAATCTAAAACGAAGCAAATAAATCAGATAAATTGGTGCATTCACCCCGCATGCCCCCCCAATCAATCAAACTAAATTTTACAGAATTGTAGCAAATACATTCAATGGAATGTGTCAAACAGTATAGCGCATTCCATAGAATGTGTCATTCTGTTTGGTTATAATTTACTACTTTTAAATTTTTTTTTAATACTTTGCTCTTATTCCTAATTTAAATTAAACACTAACTCCTCCTTGAAGAAGAACTTAATGCATTCTCTTTTATTGTGAATTTCTTTTCCATCAATCCAAATGATCATTTAACTTAGGCTTCGTTTTGAATGAATCTTTTTAATTTTTGTATTAAAAAATTATTTTAAAGAACAGAAAAAAAAAACGTCCCAAACGAAGACTTATTCTTCATCAAAACAAACACCTATATATCTAAAAAACCATGCAGTTAAAATACTTAGCATCTAAAATCTTTTATATCAAACGGCTCTATATTTATTTTACTTTCCTTTTGTACAAAACCAACACCAACTAACGGGCCCTTAATATTTTCTTATCAGTGGGCTCTGGTTTGGGCCGGCGGTATGTCATTCCGGCCCGAAATCAAAGCAAGGCCATGCTTTCAATATCTTTTCCTCTTGCACTAAATCCTGGAAAAATCGTTGGGATCTCGCTGTTTCGGATTTCGGATCCGACAAAAATCTTCGCCGGCGCCTTCGAAAATCTCGAAGACCGACATGGGAGGAGAAAACAAATGGAAAAGCTCGGAGATCGGCGAGCTCGCCGCCGATAATTCTTTGGAGAATCGCAATCGCCTGGTTGCTGATTTGGATTTCTCGACGTTTGAACGAGGATCATCTTCTTCTCCGGATCGAAAGCGAGATGAGAGAAGGGCGGAACTACCAGATAGTGCAATCGAAGTTGCACTCAGGAGGTTGGAAGAGCTCAGGATCAAGGGAGAAGAGCCGCAGCTTTCGGAGGAAGAGATAAGCTTCAACGATCAGCGGCAGGAGGACGAGGTAATGTTCATAGTTCCATAGCGGTCTTTTTTAGTCAAGGAGACATGTTCCATTGCTTTGTTGGCTACTTCTAAGTAAAAAGAAGATAAAGGGTTCTGTAAGTGCCTTGGAGTTGAAAACTAAAGTTTAATATGGATGGGCTTTGGTTATTGATTGCTTTGGTAATAGGAAGGACGAACGGGAGAAGGAAACTCTTGAACGTGTTCTTTGTTTACATGGCTGTCACAAAGGTGCACTTCAAGTATCTACTTTGGTAAGAGACCGAGGTAGACTGCTGGCATTTAGTGAAGAGTAATTGCACAAGTTCGTCTAGGACTCTAGGCTTTTAAAAACATGATTTTTAGGTACCTGGTGCATTTTGAAATCTCATGAAAGCCACTCTGTTAGTTTCCGATGTTTTACTTGCACTATAATGTGATATGACGTTGGCCATTTCTCATTGAGCATGTGATCATTTATATGACCTACACTTAGCCAAAATATCCTTCCAGGACAACAGTAAATGAGCCTTTTTTTTTTTTTGGACATTTAGGCAGTTAAGGCAAACTCATATACACAACACATACACAAAGACTCGAACTCAAGACCTCTTAGTTGAAAGCCTAAGCTCTCAACCAACATGTCAGGGTGAGCTGTGTAATGAGCCCAATTTGACAGAGCTCAAATACTATTTGGCTCAACCCGACTTCCTAGAAGTCACATATATGTCATTGACTCATCCTATAAAGTTATAAATATAAGTATATGCAAACTATGTATATATAAGTATAAACTATCAAATTGAATATCATTAAATAAAGCATTGTTAATATCTAGCTCATTAAATATACAAATATATAAAATCTAATCGAACTCAAACTAATTATCAAGCTAAACACGATTAAACATAAACAATAAGTTTTTTTATAGTCTTAATCTTCTAACTTCATTAAGTGAATTAAAGCAAAATCTAAGTGGTATAAATTGAGTCCACTTCAAAAAGAAAAAAAAAAGGATAAGAAAGAAATATAGTCAGATCATGTGAGCCAAAAAACCATCAGTAAGTAAATTCAAAGTGCTACATTGCAAACTACAAAGCAAAGCCCTAAATATTTTCAACAAATCAATGCAACCACCCCCCCACACCAAGAAGAAAAACCTTAATGTTATAGCAAATAGTTGCAAATACAAAGAACAAATCATCAAAATAATAATAATAAATATAATAAAACTTTGAAAATTTCTCAAATGCAAGTTGACAGAAAGCGAAAAAATGAGAAGAAAAGAAAGCTTCTCTAGCTGCCTTTGAATTGTAAAATTACTTTATGGGTTGTTTGATTTTAAGTAGAAGGGGTGTAAAGTATTCCAAATGCGTGAGTTTTAAGAATATTGATGTTTAATTTGAAGTAAAATAAATGCGATGTAAAATTTGGGTGCATTTGTAATTCATCATCTAGTTCATTTTTTTATGTATTTAGAATTCCTCAAGTTTGGGCAATTTTTATATACACCATAAATTCATCGTCGTTGTCATTGTCATTGCCCACCACCTGCCCCCATCATTGCCTACTGACCCCGTCACCACCGTCGACCGCCATCAGCCACCACCGCCACCCCACGCTGTTGGCCATCAATCACCATTGTCGCCACCCACCGCTGATCACTACCACTGACCACCACCATCAGCCACCACCACCACCTCTGTCGTCAGCCTTTGGCCACTGCCTCCTTCCATTAGCCTCCACCCGCCACCACCACACGCCATTGACACTGTCACCCACCGTAGCTTCCAGCATTAGATTTTACACTACTTTTATTTTACTACAAACCAAACAAGAAAATATTCACTTGCATTTGTTTTACACTTATTCAAAAACACCAAAGTATTTCTTTAACACTACATTCATTTTACAATGTATTCTTTTTATATTGCATTTATTTTTCAGCCAGCCAAAAAGTCGCTTAGTTTTTCCATCAATTGCTTGGTAAAAGTTTTTTTAAAGGAAATTTTCTTGCTATAAGGTTTTTTTAATGAAATTTACTTGATTACAGGAGAAGGAAAAAAGGGGGCATGATAAGATTTTCTTTTGCCATCAGATTGCTTATCTTAAACTGATCTTTATTTTTATAGGTGTGAAAAAATCTCTGATATGCAAGAAAGTTACTTTGGTTGGGCGGATGTTGCTTGCTGGTATTTATTTTGTGAATCTAGATGACAGAAAGAAACTATCATTGATGCTAACTTAGTTGAGTTGGTTAATGCTTTTTTAGTTTAAAAAACATTAGGCTTTTAGCTTTTAGAGCTCAGAGGTCATCCGTTAATTTTCTACTGTTCATAAGTATGCTTGACGCTTGTAAAAATCATTTCGGCTTTCAATCTATATGGAGATGGAGTGTAAGTTGGCAAGACTTATCTTCTATGGATTAACTTTATTTGAGCACCATCTCTCTCTCGGAGAGCACTAGATTCTGGGAAAATTTCTCCTTATGAATAAAAATAATATATTTCTTGCGGCTCTAGTTTTGCCTAATTATATAATGTAATTGTGACATCCCATAATCTAATTTAAAAGAATTACTTTTATCTTTTAATAGACAACAATCATAACTACCTAATTTTTTTTATCAATATGAATACAAACATAAATAAAATTGTCGATCAATACATCAATATTCATTTTCACAAAAAATCATGTATGTTATTCCTGATCTATACAATAATATCACAACTATTATGTCATGAATACAAAATAATAACTAAAATAACAAGAATCTGAACTTGAAAGATCTTGGTCGATCTCATACTCCTACTCTGTTGTTCTGACCTGAAATCATTTAATTATATATAATAAGCTCAAGAGTCCATCAAGTAACAAAATTCTACAATTGAACTCAAAACACACAAAAAAGCAGTATGCATATCGTCAGTCAATTCTTAGCAGTAGCACATATGATCATGAATCAACGCAAACATAATAAAATGTGCATGTAATAGCAGTAAAGTCTATAGACCGTAAAACAGTATAGTGATGAAACCAATAAACCAGTATTGATGTCAGATCGATAAAGCATTTGACAAATTAGTACTATCAATTAGTAAAGAAATTATATAATTGGTAAAACCAAAGTGTAAATGAAAACCGTTACAATTATATCAATCTAGTAAAAACTTATAATAGTTTACATATGTTATCCAATACGTCACATGCTCAGTATATTATGTGCTCGGTATGTCACATACTCAATATCGGTACAATGAATCAATAGTATCAAACAATATTGGTGTACGTATCGGTAACAGTAACAGTCCAATGTCGTTAGTAAAACTAGTGACAATAATAGTAAAATGATGTTTTTACAGTAAATCCGTACAGTAATAGGAATAATGTCTCAATAACATGCATTTCAGTAGTTACACTAAACAAGAAGGCCTAGCTTAATCGGTGTTTTTTCAGTAGTAAGTTAGAAATTGTTTGCTAAACAGAGTTGTCACTTGTTGTCCGTCGGCATAGTAATAACTCCTTATAAATCTCAATCAATGTATCACATGAATCAATAGAGAATAATATCCAACCATAATAATAATTTATTCAGTTTTCAATATAAAATTCATATAAATTCTTTTATATCTTGAAATTCGAAGCTTCAAAAAATATAGAAAAATGTTCATAAAATAGCCGATCATATTTAGAAAATTTTGATGAAATAGATTTGCAAAACGGATGCTAGATTGTTCCAAAGCCCCTATTGTATCGACATGTGTCAATTTCTTAAGAATTTACACCAATTCTAAAACATATGAAAAAATTAATGTAATTAAAGCACTACAATATTTATGTTGTGATGAAGATGATTTGTGATTTAAATTTATAACGACTCCTAAAAAAATATATTTTACTGAATCAAAATATGGGTTATTACAATAATTCAGTGTGCTTCTTTTTCAACTTAAAATTGGAAAAGACGTTCCATGCATATACTCCCAACCATTGTTCTTGTAATTGATTGAATTGCATTTCACATATTAAGAATTATCTCGACCCTTTTTTTTTTTAATTCTTTGTGGCTATCTTCTTTTACTGCTTGAGATATTATCTTTTGATTGATATCTTCTAATCGGCAGATGCTAGCATTGAAGGCAATATATGGAGACAGTGTTGTAACTTTAGATAGAAAGGGAGGCCTACGTTTGTTTCAGGTCTTGGCTTAACTGCACTGTTTTGTATTTTAACTGTTGGGTACAATAAAAGAGTTTTATCAGCCTATTTCTCATGCAGATCCTGATTCATTATGAAGTTCCTGATGATTTTAGTGTATCTGCAAAGCTCGAAGGAAACTGTGAAGCCGGTTACGGGGAAGATGAGAATTCAGATAGCTTCCTGTACACTTTCAAAGTTCAGTATCTGCCCCCAGTTGTCTTGACTTGCTTGTTGCCTGTGTCATATCCCAGTCATCATGCCCCATATTTCACAGTCTATGCTCCATGGTTAGATTCAATAAAGATTTCCAGTATTTGCCGCATGTTGGACGCTATTATGATGGAGCAAGAAGGGCAAGAGGTTATATACCAGTGGGTTGAATGGCTGAAAAATTCTTCCCTTTCCCACCTTGGCTTTGAAGATGGAGTTATGCTTGGCGCATATGACAAGTCTGAGAATAGAGAAATCCGTGCGATCTCTAGAAGCATCTCACTGGAGCTTGTCATTCCTTTCATGATTGGTTACAACGATGAGAAAAGTCGTGAAGTTTTTCTCAAAAATTTGCAGCTATGTATAATATGTTTTAACGAGTACGCAGGTTAGTCCTTTCCCATCTTAGTTTAGTTTTGATGCATTAGAAAAACGCCAACTCTGAACCATCTTGCATGCTTTAATCAATTAGATGTCATTAGTTATATTACTGTTATGTTCGATATACTTGATGTTAGCACACTGTAAAGATCATAATATGCTTTTGTTTGACTTTGAGAATGGATAAAATCAAGATGCATATTTAAACTTACACACTATATACTAAACTTTATTCTTATGTCAACTGTTTGCGGCAGATTATATGTAGCAAACAGCTATTGTTATCTCGGTTACTTATTTACTACAATGTTTTTTTTTTTTTCTCTTAGAGCTTTATTTAGCTAAGCACTAAGACTTCGTTTGGGACGGCTTTCTAACTGCTTAGTTTTTCAATACCACAATTTTAATTTTTTATAAAAAACTGTCTTAAGAAGCAATAAGAAAGTCATCTCAAACGAAGCCTAAATTTTCTACACTAGTCGTGCTTGTATTAGCAAAAGCTTTTGGTAAAAGCCTGTTTTTCGATGATTCAAACAGAGCGTTTGCACTTGTAAGTTTTCTCAAATGATCCTATATTTGGCTATTTATGGTTTTCAAATCACAAAGGACGCATATGAATGGATCTTAGAACTTCTTTGTCATGGGCATAAATCATAATCTATTCCAATACCTTGCAAACATCTCAGCTGAAGAACATCTCTATTCAAGCTTGTTTTATTTCAGTTAAAAAGTTATGTACAATCACTATTTTATTACGTTGCAAAATCAATAATCTATTCTTAAACATTCTTATTTATCAGGAATCAACTTTGTTAGACTTCCATGTCAGCACTTCTTTTGTTTCAATTGCATGGAAAAATATTCTAGGATGCATGTGGATGAACGAACCGTGACTAAATTGCTCTGCCCCGAGACAAAATGTGTTGGTCTTGTTCCTCCCAGCTTACTACAAAAGCTACTTGATAGTGAAACATTTAAACGGTGGGAGGAGTTGACACTGCAGAAAACACTGGACTCAATGACAGATGTTGTCTATTGTCCCAGATGTGAAACGGCATGCTTGGAAGATGAGGATAATCATGCACAATGTTCAAAGTGTCTCTTCAGCTTTTGTTCTCTTTGCAGAGAAAGACGCCATTTAGGCATAAAGTGTATGACTCCAGAGACGAAGCTTCTAATTTTGCAGGTAACAGATGCAACTCTGCATTCTTATTTCTTTTCCAGACAGTCTTCTGTCAACAACAAATAACAACATCAAGCCTTTTTCCCACTACATGGGGTCGGCTACATAAATCCTTTTTCGCCATTGTGTCATGTTAAAAATAAAATTCTCATTTAAATTTAATAGAAAAAGATCATTTCTAATACTTTCTAACCAAGTCTTTTTAGATCTACCTCTACCTTTCTTAACATAAGTTAAATCTAATACCTCAAGCTTTCCTAACCGGTTCATCGGAAGTCCTCTGTTTAATGTGACCAAACCATCTAAGGCGACTCTCTCTAAACTTATCTTCCACTGGAGCTACTCCAACAACAACAACATTGTTGTTGCCAGACCCCAAGTCTTGGATAAGAAAAGTGGAGGGTTGTATTAGGTAGTCAACAGCCAGCGTAAAACTTATCGAATAATCATGATATGAATCTTTTAAACAGTCTTCTGTGAAAAAAATTTTTAAAAAGTCCTTTAAATTATTTGGAAAGAAACATTAGGCTTTTCCATTGTGTGATATACAAAGTGCATATCTTCATCCAAGAAAAGGTGATGACTATTGTGAGAAGCAAAGCTGACAATTTCTTTGATCAGGAGCGCCAAAGTTCGTCTAGTATCAATGATATCCAAAGGAAGAAGGAGCTTGAAATGATAAATGACATACTTAACACCAGGGAAGCACTTCGTGATGCCAAACAATGCCCCTCCTGTAAAATGGCTATATCACGCACAGGAGGTTGCAACAAGATGGTTTGCCAGAATTGTGGAAGTTACTTCTGCTATAATTGTTGCAAGGTCATTGATGGATATGATCATTTCAAGTAAGAAAATATTCAAACTTGAAGATAAAGTTCAGAAAGTTGATATAAACCTGAAAATCCTTTTTGCAGGGAGGAGTGCCAACTTTTTCCACGTGAAGAGATATTGGCCTGGGAAGAGCATATTAATCCACGGCAAATGTTAGGGCAATTACAAGCTGAATTGCATCCTGATGCTGCCAACATGTGTCCCAATTGTGGCCAAATGAATGCAAAGGTTAGTACAATGAACTACTTCCTGGATCACATCTCTTATTTGAACTTGAGAAGAACAATAGGTGAGCTCATGAAAACTTCTAACATTATATTTAATATGATTATTTATGCTTCTTTTACCTATGACTTTAAAATATTATGTAGTTGTCTGGCAAACCGAGGATTGACCTTACTGCTAAACATCTCATTACTGCTGTAGAATTCTCTTGATAATTAAACCAAGAAAAATGATGTGATGTAAAGGAAGAAAAGAAAAAAAAAAAGATTTTGCCTCTCAAAAGATGCAGCCGTGGATAGAGATTAAGGCTCTCTTGGGACGGCTTTTTTAATGCTTCTTAAAAAACAGCTTTTTTTGTCAATATAATTTTATAATTTTAATAAAAAACTGCTTTAAAAAGCAGTAAAAAAACTGGTCTAACTATGGTCAGCTATAACATTGTAGGAGCTGATCCTGCTAGTCAGGTGGGACCTTATTAGCAGGATTATCATTGATGCTTTCTTGTACACTGACAAGTAAAGCATTAGTATTAATACTTTATTTCCTAAAACTTACTAGTAAATACAAGTTTCAATAGTTGGACCAAGCTCAAGGTAGTTTATGTTGAAATAATTAGCACTTTATAAACAAGCCTCACTTTCAACTTTAGCATGATTAATGAGGGTTTAGGATCAATTTTACTTTACCAAATTATAGTATCATATCTGGAACAAATATTTCATTTGATGCATAAAATTGACATGTAAATTGATTATGAATGATCTACTTGAAAATTTGCAGATAGGGAAAAACAACCACATCTTCTGTTGGGCATGTCAAACACACTACTGTGCTTTGTGTCGGCAGAATGTTCGACGTACGTCAGAGCACTATGGTCCCAAAGGCTGCAAACAACACACATAGGCTTTGTTTGGACGGTTTTTTAACTGCTTCTTGAATCAGCTTTCTATTATAAAAATTTTAATTTTTATACTAAAAAACTGCTTCAAGCAGCAGTAAAAAAGCCGCCCCAAAACAAAACCTTAAAATCCATGAAATATGTAGATTCCAGAATTGGAAAAGATGGGCAAGCATCAAAAATCCAATCTGAGACTAGAAATATGTACACCCACCATAGTAATTATGTAAACAGAAATCAATTCATAAACCTGATTTGTCCACTTGTTGTTTGAAGAATTGATTTGATGTGATTAATTCTGTAACAATAGAGTGTATACTAATGTTATCATCTCCAGGTTCTTTAATATATTCAGATTTTCCATTCTGTAGAAAATACAAAGAATATGGCTTTGCTGTATTATGAATAAGTTTCATTTGATTTTCAATATAGAGAAGAATTTATAATGTTCCCCTGACCAAAATAATCTCAAATGACAACGGGCATACAAGGGAAATGTTTTTTTTTTTACATTCAAAGTTTAAGATTTTTCAAAGGCTTTGCAAAATATTATGATGTTACAGCAATGCTCCTGTCATAACACCTGTGGTTTAACACAGCTTCAGCGATTGGCCTTTGTCGATAATCACGATTAAGCATTGCCTGCACAATAGTGAATCAATAAGATTTTGTTAAATATATTTTTTTTTACCAGTAATAAAATGAGCATAAATTTAGAAATCATAAAGTTTGGAATTTAACTTTTTCAAAGAGCAATATAAATGCTTATTTTGATTTCAGGGAAATCATTCTTATGCTCCTATGAAAAATGTATTTTTTAGTTAAATGGGACAACAAAGAGTTTATATTTAAATTGAATTATAATTATTAATTACCATTGATTTTATGTAATTCTAATTTCTCTCTGATATATCATATTAATTTAATCATTTTATTCATGCTTTGAGTTTTGATTCTTGGCATTTATTAATTCATTTTTAAAAAAATAAATTGAAAATTTATTTAGTGATTTGTATCTACAAAAACAACACAACAACATCAAGCCTTTTCCCACTACGTGGGGTCGGCTACATGAATCCTTTTTCTCCATTGTGTCCTATTAAAAAGCCAAATTCTCGTTTAAATCTAATAAAGAAAGGTCATTCTTAATATTTTCTAACCAAGTCTTTTTAGGTCTACCAATACCTTTCTTAACACAAGTGAAATCTAATACCTCTACTCTCCTAACTGGGTTCGTCGGAAAGGCCGCCTTTTTATGTGACCAACCATCTAAGGCGACTCTCTCTAATCTTATCTTCTACTGGAGCTACTCCAACCTTTTCACGTATATGCTCATTTCGTATCCTATCTCTAAAGGTAAAGCCACTCATCCATCTAAGCATCCTCATCTCTGCCACACTTACTTAGTATTATGCTTCTCTTTTAATGGCCAACATTCGGCACCATAAAGCATTGCAAGCCTCACTACCATCTTATAGAATTTCCCTTAAGTTTGAGGGGTACATTTCTATCACATAACAACCCCGATGCATTCCGCCACTTCAAACCATCCAACTTGAATTCTGCTGATAATATCCCATCTATTTCACCATCACCCTGAACAATAGATCCAAGATACCTAAACGTGTACTCTTATTAATGACTTGATCGCCCAAAGTCACATCCCTCACTAGAGGACTATTATGCTGTAAATTACACTCCATATATTCCGTTTTAGATCTACTCAAGCGAAAACCTTTAGACTCTAAGGTTGACCTCCATAATTCAAGTTTTACCTTCAACTCCCTCTTCTCTATCTTATCAAAGAAGAATATCATCAGCAAAAAGCATACACACAGGGTACATCATCTTGCAAATGTCTAGTGAGACATAATCACGGACTAAAGCAAATAGATATGGGCTTAAGGCTGATCCTTGATGTACCCAAGACAGAATAGGGAAATACTTGGTCAACACCTTGTGTTTGAACACAAGTAATAGCTCCTGCATACTATCTTTAAGGATTTGAATATAGCATTATTGATCCTTTCATATCAAGAACTCTCCATAGCACTTCTCTTGGAACTTTTATAATGCTTTTTCTAAATCAATAAATATCATATGTAGATCCCCTTATTTCCTCTATATTTTTCCATCAAACCTCTGAATAAATGTATGGGCTTCCATAGTCGACCTACCCGGCATAAATCCAAATTGATTTTGAGAAACATTAGTACACGCCGCAACCTATGCTCTATAACTCGCTCCCAATAATTTTAAAGTATGACAATTAACTTAATACCTCTATAATTCGTGCAATCCTGTGCATCGCTTTATTCTTAAAATAGGAATTAATATCACTCATTCTTCCACTCATCTGGCATCTTTTTTAGTCTTCAAAATAGTATTAAAAAGTTTAGTAAGCCAAGAAATCCCTTCATCTCCTAAGCATTTCCACACCTCTATTGGAATATCATCAGGTCCAACAGCTTTTCCACCCTTCATTCTATTTAAAGCCTCTCTAACTTCACTTTTAACTAATACGCCGATAAAAACAGAAATCTTTACTTTCATTTAGGGTGCTAAGGTCACTATTCAATCTATTTTCACACTCTTCATTAGTGATTTGTAATCTAAGAATTTTAAATTCTCTTGCATTATTTATACAGAATGTATCATAATAGGGATGAACATTCACCTGGAGCAGTTCCCAGCCAGCACCATCTCCTAGATCCAAAAAGCTAACAGCCTCTTGCATTCGGTCATCTGCATTGCAATACCTGAATATAAAGAGCGGTGGCTAATTATCTTCAGATATACCAGATACACCAACAAAGTAAATAATAATAATTAAAGTGTAATTAACTCCTTTGATAGAATGCAAAATATGTTCTCAATTTTTGTAACTAACTTAATATTAGATGTTAGGTTGAATTTTTTTCTCTCTTTATAACAGGCATTATAAGGCTTTCTAAAGCATTTTTTTAATAAAAAATTTCTTGAACTAGAAATTTTATACTAAAAAATTGCTTTAAAAAGCAGCAAGAAAGCTATTGCAAATAAAACCTTAGAGAGATGCTCATGTTAGGGAAAATATGAACTACAGGGAGATCAAAGTTGAGTTGGATACACCAAT